TCCCGTTCCGCTCTGAGCAATCGGACAAATATTTGCATTTATACATAACCGGCCGGTTTCAAAATAAATGTGCTGTAATTGTTTTCACAGAGTCTCTACACGTCCTCATACTGCTGGACTGCAATATGCTTGATTTATTTGTGGAGCTGATATTGGAAAACTACAGATCTTCTGTTTATATGGAGTTTAACAGCAACACTCATCTACAATAGGATGGTTCGTTACCACAAGTAGGAAATGGATGCAAAACAGGTAAAAAATTAAGAACTGGACGTGGAGCTGGTCATTAGTCTTTGTAAAAGTGATCACATTAACCATGTACACAAGTGAGAATGTCAGATACATGTATTAACCCTCTGGACCTCTTCGGTCATTTTAGACCGAAAAAATTTATATTTCGAAATTTAAAAAATCGTGGCTTCATCGGAATGAGATGACACTTGGTGACTTTTGTCACATTAGCTATGTGAACACACAAAACAATCATGGACATGATTCGGATATGTTAAAGGGTAAAAAAAAAGTCACACTTGGCTCCTTCGCGGTCAAAAATGAACGACATATGAAATGAATAGGAGATATGAAAAAATACGAAAACTCAGATAATTTTTTGGTGGTACAAACTACAAATCAGCCACTGTGCAGAACAAAAGTGCACAGAGATCAAGGGGTGACTCTCTACAATATCAAGAGGGCAAAATAAACACCCACGCACACACACGCACGCACACACACACACACACACACACACACTTAAAGACATGAGCCTCAGACATCTCAAGGCTGTGTTAAAAAAGATCCACTCTTCTCTTTCCCCACAGGACGAGCGACTAGAAAAATCACAGAACACAAGACTGTAAAAACGGCCTCTTTTAACACAGAAACAGAGAAATCTCTGATGCTACTGAAGTCGACATGAAACGCTTTTCACAACTCATTTCACGCTGAAGTAATTCTGAGAGAAACCAGACATGCAATAAGAGGAAAAATGTAGGATAAGACTTGCTTCTGTCCATCAGGAATGGATGTGATCGTAAAAAGCAAAATAGTGTCTGATTGAATGAGTTGGGAAATGTAAGAAGGCTGATCATTGTTTTAAGGTTGTTTGAAGGATTAAGTTATTAC